TGGTGAGATACAGGTGCACAGACATCAACATAGTGACTTTACCACCTTTTCCATTTTTCATATGTTTTCATAGTATTTTATATATATTCTTTAAAGGCTGATAAAAATATTGTTGGTCTAGCCAAAACCGGTTTGGCTCAGTGGATAGAGTGTCGGCCTGCGGACTGAAGGGTCCCAGGTTCGATTCTGGTCAAGGGCATGTACCTTGGTTGCGGGCACATCCCCAGTAGGGGGTGTGCAGGAGGCAGCTGATTGATGATTCTCTCTCACTGATATTTCTAACTCTATCCCTCTTCCTTCTTCTCTGTAAAAAATCAATAAAATATATTTTTTGAAAATATATTGTTGATCTAGCATTGAGGGAGAGGAAAAGAGGAGAAAGAAGAGACAGAAATAATATCCATAACTGTTTCCAAAAGCAGTAGGACTATAGTGATTAAGAAAGTTATCCTACTGTCTACATTAAAATATTCCAATTGAAGTGTGTCAGCAATGTAGACAGAAGCCAAATATTGTGTTGTAGGTCTCTTCACCTCTCAAAGGAAGTGGACGGGAATCCCTGCGCCTGACTTTTTTCTTTTCAGAGAGAAACAGCAGAAATTCTGTTCCCTTACTCCTTCGTGTATCTGTAAGAACAAGGCCCAGGACTAGACATCGTGAAGAATAAAAATCACCTGTGGCTGGGCTGTGGGTTTCCGGATGCTGACATCTGGTAGGACACATAAGCAGGAATATACAGTGTCGGGCAGTGTTTGGGAAGAACTTAGTGGTGGCACAGATGCTATGGAGCAGCAGTAGCCAACCTTTCGGATCTCACGAACCACTGGTTGGCGACCACTGCTCTGGAGGGTATGTTACGTGTGGTCCTTTCGGAATGGAGAGGTCAGAGGGAGCAAATTGAAGTGACTTTTCAGCCAGGACTTGAAGAACTGTTAGGTGTCTTGTAAGAACAATTACAAGACATTTACGCCATGGGAAGACCCTAAGAGTTGGTATTAAAAAGTAGTTTACAAAGTTGTCTTTTGAGAATTAAACTAATCGTCACTACAAAATAATAGGCCAAATGTCTTGAGGCCCAAAGGAAGGAACACCTATGTTACTGGTAATAGTTACTTAAGTGGTCTATCAGTTTGTCTGCCCAAAAATGTACACACTTTGAACAATTATAAGGCCAGTGTTTATTGAAATACATTCTGTTTTCAAAATGTAATAGAATCTACAAAGTGTGTATGCATTTTCAAAATATAATAGATCTACAGACATAGTGTATATGCATGTGGGGGGTGGGGCAGGGGGCGGGAGACACCCTGTAAATAGTTTTAAATAGTTCTCAAGAGGAGAAGGGAGGCCAGGTAGGAAATGGTGTGTTGTGGGGATCCAGCACTTTCCAGGGAAAGAGAAGACTTCCAGGAACTTGAACCTTTGGTCCTTAGACGTGTGTCCTCTGCTGTAGGGGGGAGAGTCTTCATTGGGGTGACCTCAGCTGGAGGGAGATGCTCTTTCAGTTACAGAATCTCTCCCCATTGTCCAGAGGGCATAATGACAAGAGGATAGCCTCAGGATCAGAACTCGTTCAAATTCCATGCCTAAACTTGCTAGCTGAGTGACACGATACTTGTCTCTGCGTTAGTATAATGGGGCTAAAGTGATCAGTCTGCTAAGGAATCGTGAGGATTGAGTAAAAGCATTGGTCTGAAGAGTCCCACTCAGGCCTAACGTGACACTCAGCGAAGCTGTGACTATGCTCTGACATCTAACCCCACCAAGAAGCCTAATCACTAATTTCTCGATACTGAATCATCTCAAACAGGATGTGCAGATCAGACGCGTAAGCATTCTAGGAAGGAAATCAGACACCCCATCACAAAGCACGGCTTCCCGGAATGCTCAAACAGTGCTGGGAGCCTTAGTCTGTCACCAGGAGCCTAATCGTTCCTGGCAGGTCAGAAAGCGCTGTTTCTGAGCCCGCTGTGAGGCGGAGGCTGCAGGCCTGCGTGGGTGACCTGTCAGTGCCGAATGCCAACCTGGAGAGTCTGGGCAAGTAATAGCCAACTTCATTCAGCGTTCACTGTGGGCCCAGCGCCCTGCTCAGTGCTCTGCCTACCCTGTGGTGTAAGCCTCAGAGAGACCCTGCAGGGCAGGTATTGGAATTCTCTTTTTTTTCTTCTTTTTAAAAAAATATATTTTATTGATTTTTCACAGAGAGAAAGGGGAAGGGATAGAGAGCTGGAAACATTGATGAGAGAGAATCATAGACCAGCTGCCTCCTGCACACCCATACTGGGGATGTGCCCGCAACCAAGTACATGCCCTTGACCAGAATCGAACCTGGGACCTTTCAGACTGCAAACCGAAGCTCTATCCACTGAGCCAAACCAGTTTCAGCTGTAATTCTCCTCTCTCAATGAGCAAATCGGAGCTTGGAGGTGCTGGTAACTTGAGGTCACACAGTTGTCAATGGCAGAGCCAGATTGGAGCATCAGCCTGTCACTCGCCACTGCTCACAGCCATCACGCATAAGGGTCAAACCAGGAAGTCCTGGTTTCAGATCCAGTTCCGCTTCTCTCCAGGAACACAATCTTAAGCAAGATCTTAATCACTCTCTGAACCTCAGCGTCTTCATCTAAACCCCAGAATGAATGCAGCCCATGTAATGGGCAAGTTGGGAGGACTGGAAGGAAGACACGGAAACACCCAGCAACACCCAGCACAGTTTCTAACGCCCGGAAGTGACCCGACACGACGTGATGGTTACTATTGGGGGCTCTCCAGGCAGGTTTCTACTTCCCACTTCCCCCTTGGCCTGTGACATCCCTGTCAGTTGCTGGTAAAAGTAAAACCTTTGTACTTTTCAACTGCAAATACACATAGAATATGGCTTGCTTATTTAAATTAGAAAAGAATTGAGGCTACTACCAGTGTCAAGGTCTGACATTTGTCCTGCATGCCATAAAAATGTCACTACTTTTATTGTGATAAAATGGAAATAACATAAACCATGCCATCTTAGCATTTTAAAAAAAAATTATTGATTTTTTACAGAGAGGAAGAGAGAGTTAGAAACATTGATGAGAGAATAACATCAATCAGCTGCCTCTTGCACGCCCCCTACTGGGGACGTGCCTGCAACCAAGGTACAGGCCCTTGACCGGAATCGAACCTGGGACCCTTGAGTCCGCAGGCCGATACTCTATCCACTGAGCCACACCAGTTAGGGATTAACAATTTGTAAGTCTACAATTCTGGGTCATATGTTATACACTGTCATGCAGCAATCACCGTTCTCTGTCTCCAGGTCTTTCCATCACCCTGAGCAAAGCCTCTGTAAACATTTAACAGTGACCCCTCTGTTTAGAATTTCTTTCCTTTCCACACTAAGTTATTCTAGTCAAATCAAATCATATTACTGTTTACATGACATACCTATCAGTTGAAGATAAGCAGTATATGTTTTAAGGAAGATGATACCAGCCAGATTTGGATATTTTTATGTTTGCCAAGCAGTACTTTTATGTCTGAATCAAAGTATTCCAATTGGAAAATATGTTAAAAGCATATGATACAATCAGGGTAGAGTTCCTTTTCATGTTTTTAAAGAATTGTACTTTACATGTCTAAAGGCTAATAAGTGTTTCTGTTTATTGATTAGAAGAATTTAACAAGTTCTATTATTAAAGGATGGTGTGTGTGTTTTTTTCTGAATTACTGGAATATTATATTTTATTCAAACCCAAAATCATATCTGGCATGAAATAAAACTAAATCTGGTTGATACCATTTTCCTTAAAATGTAATGTACTTTTTTTTTCTTTTTTTAAAATATATTTTATTGATTTTTTTTACAGAGAGGAAGGGAGAGAGATAGAGAGCTAGAAACGTCGATGAGAGAGAAACATCGACCAGCTGCCTCTTGCACACCCCCTCCTGGGGATGTGCCCGCAACCAAGAATCGAACCCGGGACCTTTCAGTCTGCAGACCGACACTCTACCACTGAGCCAAACCGGTTTCGCCTGTAATGTACTTTTGATAAGAGTGGATAAAATGTGACTGATCAGGGGCTTGTAATCCATCTTGTAGATCTTTAAAATGTTAGCAGGATCCTTGGAACAGATAATTTAAACTAGATAGGCTAGAGTTAATCATGGTGCTCTCTTTTTTTATTATTCTTAATTGTACAAAAGGAGTTTGCTAACTATTGTAAGGACTTTTCTACAGCTTATTTTCAGAATGAGAAGGATGGAAGGAGAATAGTATAAACATATGCTACCTGAATTGTCCCACACATGCCTTTTTCAGTGTATTTTAAAATAGATATAAATCTTTTCATTTGCAATATTGCTGGTGTTTGGCCAAGACCAAGACTCCACAGCTAACTTTCACGTGTCCGGTTTAGTGTCCAGTTAAGCATGGGTGGTCGGTTTTAGCAGACACCTCCTGCAACCAGCAGTTCCTTCTGTTGAGAAAGCGGTTCCAACATGATGCACATTAGAATGTCCTAGGGCCGTGGTCGGCAAACTGCGGCTCGCGAGCCACATGCAGCTCTTTGGCCCCTTGAGTGTGGCCCTTCCACAAAATACCACGGCCTGAGCGAGTTTATTTTGAAGAAGTGGCGTTAGAAGAAGTTTCAGTTTAAAACATTTGGCTGTCAAAAGAAATTTCAGTCGTACTTTTGGTGTTCGGCTCTGTTGACTAATGAGTTTGCCGACCACTGGCTTAGAGAACTAAAAATACACCACCTCTGGGCTCGGTCCCCAGAGACTCTGCTTTGATAGATTTACCAGAGGCTCTGACTCGCGCGTGTATCTGTAATAAATACCAGCCCCGGCTGAGAACCGCTGTGTCCCAAGGAGAGCAGGGCGAGGAGGCGGGAATGATCCCAGCCATTTCCTCCTCCTCCCTGTTTCAGGCAGGCAACCCCGGAGACGAGGAAAACGAGGCTCTCTGGTGGATCCAGAACTCAGAAGTTTTTAAAGTAGCTTTTCTCTTTTTGCCATTGCAGACATGGAAGGACTTTGATGGGACGTACATGACTCCACAAACGATGCTCTAATGGATGACAGTGAGCTGCCTGCAGGTCAGCCTCATATAGAACCACAAGATGGGGGTCCTCCCGGCGGCAGCGTGGGGAGCGTAGGGTCACACCTGCCTTCTGCATCCGACGAGAATGAAAACCAGCTGGACGGCTGTGGGCAGCACAGCCTGACGGGCAGCGCCGGGGCCATGGGCAGGCCCGCAGCGGCCGAGCAGGACAGTCTCAACAACAATGCGGGCTGCATACCACCCTGGGAGGCGGCCTCGGGGGAGGCCTCGGAGCACGCCGCTTGGGGAGGCCCCCGAGGCGGACAGGACCTCTCGGGGAAGGACACAACAGCCCCTGGAAATGAAAGCTCAAGGACCATGGGCCCGGTGAGGACAACGCCAGCAGGTATTTCCTTTAATTCCTGTTCATACTCCTCCTTGGAAATGCATCTTCTTCCCGTCTCACCCTGTGCATGGGCCCTGCATCTCGCTTTTCGTCTCTCAGTACAGTTCGGAGCTAGGTCCAGGCGCACACACAGTTCCAGCTGTGCGGTATGTGGGCCTGTGCCAATGTGTGCGTGCACCATCATTTATTTCACCCTTTCTCTTTCTTTTTTTTTTTTTAATATATTTTATTGATTTTTTTACAGAGAAGAAGGGAGAGGGATAGAGAGTTAGAAACATCGATGAGAGAGAATCATCAATCAGCTGCCTCTTGTGTAGTGTAGTCTTACCCTCTTTATAAAACCTTTCCATGTGCTTGTGTAGTCTTACCCTCTTTATAAAACCTTTCCATCTCAATCAGTGGATGAATGTATACATTAACATATAATGTCAAATAAGACATTATCCTGTAATTATCCTGTAATCACTTAATTCAGAGCATAGCATCCTGGGTATGCGGTTTGGTGATTAAAATGTGGAAGTGCGGACTATTTTGCCTGAATGGCAGGGCAGCCTGGGAGAAGCAGCCTCTGGTTATTTCTCATCGGCAGCGTGGGGTGGAGGGTCCCTGTGCATCCCAGCCAGGACTCCTCAGTCAGCGTCACCCAACTCCTGCACCTGCTCTGGTGTGCGGAGTGCACGCCTCCTCTTGCCTGCTGCTCTCTGCGATGTCTGTGGCTGATTTGCCATCTCTGTCCACAGTGTGTTTTTTATTGTATTTTTTATTTGGAGTAAAAGACATTTTCCAATTTCTATAGATCAATCCATACTTTTTTTTTTTAATATGTTTTATTGATTTTCTTCAGAGAGGAAGGGAGAGGGATAGAGAGTGAGAAACATCGATGAGAGAGAATCATCAATCAGCTGCCTCTTGCACAGCCTCTACTGGGGATGTGCCCACAACCAAGGTACATGCCCTTGACCAGAAACAAACCTGGGACCCTTCAGTCCACAGGCCAATGCTCTATCCACTGAGCCAAACCGGTTTCAGCCATACTTATTTTATAAGGTAACTTGATAACTTTTTAATGCAGCTCATCATTTGACTTTCCAGTTCATTGATCCCTCTGTCTTTGCTTTCCTTAGTAGACTTAAAACAAATTAAAATAATTTTGACAAGCAGTAGGAAAGCATTTTCTTAAAAGACCCACATTAACTATGCTATATGCAGTACTATTTATGTATAAATTGATTTATTCTTCATAATTCAAGGGCAGCTTGACCGTGCCTCTCTAATCCAATCTGGGGATGTTTTTAGGAACTGAGATCAAGTTTCATGATTATGGCTCCTTTTACGGTATTCCTCCCTCCCCTGGCCTTCCCCCAGCTTTCCTGGGTGAGATTGTATAATTTAAAGTTGTTTAGTACTTACTGCCAGTGAGAAGATATGTGTGGAATTACTACCCCCTAATGCACTTGAAATAATGTGTTTATAAAACCTGGGTATAGTCTTTATACAGATTATTTTAAGCCTGGTTTTTTTTTGTATCTAATATAAATGAGAGTAAGAGTGTAAGAAACCGAATTAAGAGTTGTAAAACCTAAGTTCGAATCTTGCTTCTGGTTCTGGATCACTTGGTGAGACTTAGTTATTTTGCACCTCAGTTTTCTCATTGGTATGATGCTGCTGCTCATAGATGTTATCTACAAAGTGCCTTTCTGAGCAGTGAGTGGGTTTCTGAATAGAAATGGTGTTGTCTACACTCGGTTAAAGTTTGATGACTTACCTCTGGCATATGTAGAGTTTTTACATGTAGAGAGTACATTTTCTTTTCTTTTTTTCTTTTTTTTAATATATATTTTATTGATTTTTGTACAGAGAGGAAGGGAGAGAGATAGAGAGTTAGAAACATCGATGAGAGTCATCAATCAGCTGCCTCTTGCACACCCCCTACTGGGGATATGCCCGCAACCAACGTACATGCCCTTGACCGGAATCGAACCCGGGACCTTTCAGTCCCCAAGCCGACGCTCTATCCATTGAGCCAAACCGGTTTCGGCAAGAGAGTACATTTTCGTTTGTACTTTAAGTTTTGTTAAAAGAAGGTGAGCAAAAGAATTTTGAACTGAATGAAAAGGTATTCCTGAGGGTAGAATTACCCTTTCTGACCCAGAAGAGGTCTGAGATGGGGCGTATTAGGACTACCTGGGTGCTTTCTCGTTTACCCCGAGCTCCTTGAAGCCCATCCTCTCAGTCCGTGTCCAGTCAGTCTGTGAGTGTTTGTCCCTATGACCCTCCAGTAGCCTGTTCCTCCCCGTCTCCACCACACAGTCCCGGTCCCGCCCTCAGCTTGAGCTGGAGCCCTGCCTGTGACCTTGCTTCTTGGTTCTCCCACCTTGTTCTCCATCAGCCGCTCTGTGGCGGAGCTAACACTGCAGATGTTCATGCTGGGCGTGGGCTGCGCACTCCCCTCCTCACTGGGAAGTTTTTTTTTTGTTTTTTGTTTTGTTTTGTTTTTGTTTTAAATATATTTTTATTGATTTTTTACAGAGAGGAAGAGAGAGGGATAGAGAGTTAGAAATATCGATGAAAGAGAAACATCGATCTGCTGCCTCTTGCACACCCCCTCCTGGGGATGTGCCCGCAACCAAGGTACATGCCCTTGACTGGAATCGAACCTGGCACCTTTCAGTCCACAGGCCGACGCTCTATCCACTGAGCCAAACCGGTTTCGGCGACTTTAATCCTCTTGATTAGTCAACTAAGCCGGGGTACAGGCTGCATGACAAGTTTTCACTGGCATCGTTTTAGTAAATAATACTCCAACAATTAATGGAAATGAGCCTATAAATATTTAATAGCCTCATGGAGATACAATTCCCACTTAAAACGCACACGTCAATGACGTTTAGCATATTCAATAGCGGTGCAGCCGTTACCACAGTCAGTTGTAGAACATTCTCATTGCCCACAGAAACCCCACGCCTGTCAGAGCTGCTCTCCCGTTCCCCCTTCGCCGTCCCAGCTCTAGGCCCCCACTCGCCCACTTTCCTTCTCTGTAGACTTGCCTTCTCTGGACATTCCACATAAATGGAACCGCACAATGGACGGTCCTCTATGGCTGGTTTCTTTCACTTGGCGCAGTACTTTCGGGATTCATGCATGTTGTAGCATGTATCAGAACTGTTCCTCCTGAGGTCAAATAGTACTCCATGGCTCGGGCACCTCCCTTTCCTGTGCCTGTTGGTCAGCTGCTGGGGATTCGGGCTGCTTCTACTTTTTAGCTGTTATGAATAGCGCTCCTGTGGACATCTGCATACAGGTTTTTGTGTGGACATGTGTGTTCCTTTGAGGGGTTTTATGTACATAGGAGTGGAATTACTGGATCTTAAAGTAACTGTTTAACCTTTTTGAGGATCTGTCAAACTATTTCCTCTCTCGCCAGCACAATATGAGGGTTATAGTTCCTCCACATTTCTCCAGGACTTGGTAATATCTGACTCTTTTTATTACAGCCAGAGTTGTTTTTTACTTAGATGTAAGTCACATGCCATAACGTCACCTTTTTGTAAAGCGGTTTCAGTACATTCACAAAGTTGTACAACCACCTAACTCTAGAACATGTTATTCTCCCCAGAAAAGAAACTCCCCGTTTTCCCCTGTCAACAACTGGGGCATAAATTCTGAATAGTTGTGACATGCAAGTTTAGATTAAGTTTCTGATGGTTGCCATAACAACGTCTGTTATTTACTCAGTCGGTCACCATAGTTTCTAAACATTTGACAAAACAGTTCAGCACCTGGCAGGGAGCCAGAGTAGGCAGCAGATGCACACGGAGAAAGACCTTGCAGACGGGACTTGGCCACCCTTCAGTGCCCAGGCTGGTTCCACTGAAGGCCTTCCCAGCGTGGCCGCTGGGGGGTGACAGAGAGGCCCGGGAATGGTATGTCCTGCAGTCCAGCTGTGTCGTGAGAACAAAGACTTTGTTGGCTCTGCCTGTTCCTATGTGACCCTGGAAAAGCGGTACCTCCGTTCACCGAGCCTCAATCCTTACCTGTGGCAGGGCTGCTCCTTCCTGTCTTGTCCTTACAGTGAGCAGTTCTGAATGGGAAGCACCTGTAAAGTCCCCAGCGCGAAGCAGGTGCTTCTAACTGGCAACTGCCTTTGTCTGTGTCACCCCGGGAGTTTTAAGTGGCATGAGTAGAAGCAGCATTCAGCAACATTCAGACATTCGTTTAATTTGACTCTAAATCCATCTCACCTCCTTTGTCAGTGTGTTTCTTCAAGGATCTTAGTAGCACTCTCTTTCTAGATTCACCTATCCCTGCCCCTCTCTCCCCTGGTGTGTATTCCTGAAAACATATGTTCGGTGCCTTCCTCATCATGCCTACTGGCATGTTAGCTGGCATGGATCCTCAAGACACATTTGCATTTTACATATCTGGCTTTGACCACAGAACCTTTTATCTGGCCTTCAATATGTGCCTTTATGTGTGTTAGAGAAACAAATTTTTATATTTTCAGACTTCCAAGAAGATCATATAATTTATATAAAGCCACATAAAATTTGAGAATTTTATTTATTTATCCTGGAGAACCAAGGAATATTTTTTATATGGTAGCTGATGAATTCGGTGTGCTTGGAATGAATTGGGTGGAGGGGGGGGATGTAGCCATTTCGATATTAGCAAAAGTGTTTGTGAACATCTAATGCACATGTGTCAAACACAAGGCCCGCGGGCCAAATCCGTCCCGCCAGGCCTTGCAATGTGGCCCGCATCGCGCTGTCATCACTGCACTTCGCTGCGTTTCCATCACAATGACAGTTTATGACTGTTCAGTAAACCATTCGGCCCGCGATTTAGGCTGGATTTTAGATTTTGGCCCCTTCTCTGATTGAGTCCGACACCCCTAATCTAATGGGATGTTCATTTGAAACTTTGATATTTGAGTATCATAGACCTGGATAAGGAGTTTAAAAATTAGCAGAATTAATTGCATACTTAGGGAAATCCCTGGC